ATAAATAAATAAATAAATAAATAAATAAATAAATAAATTGTGTTGCAGATTCAGAGCAAATGCTGGCCAACATTAACTGGTAATAATGTGTATATAAAATTTCAGAAAAATAAACCAATAGGAAGCACTACAAATCCAGAAATTGTGCTGACCTTCCTTTAAAAAATGTAATCTTTTTATAATATGCTTTCTTTTTTCCATTTTCTTACTGAATATCAACATGTAGAGGAATGAAAATAGATCCATATATATCACGATGCACAAAACTCAAGTCCAAATGAATCAAAGACCTCAACATGAAGCCAGCCACACTGAACCTCATAGAAGAGAAAGTGGGAAGTATACTTGAATACATTGACACAGGAGACCACTTCCTAAGTATAACCCCAGCAGCACAGACACGAGAGAAAGAATTAATAAATGGGACCTCCTGAAACTGAAAAGCTTCTGTAAAGCAAAAAACCCCACAATCAACAAGACAAAATGACAGCCTACAGAATGGGAAAAGATCTTCACCAATCCCACATCAGACAGAGGTCTGATCTCCAAAATATACAAGGAACTCAAGAAATTGATCTTCTAAAAAACAAATAATCCAATAAAAAATGGAGCACAGACCTAAACAGAGAACTCTCAACAAAAGAATCTAAAATGGCTAAAAGACACTTAAAAAAATGTTCAACGTCCTTAGTCATCAGAGAAATGCAAATCAAAACAACTCTGAGATTCCATCTTATACCTGTAAGAATGGCCAAGATCAAAAACACTGATGACAACCTATGCTGGAGAGACTGTGGGGTAAAGGGAACACTCCTGCATTGCTGATGGGAATGCAACCTGGTACAGCGCCTTTGGATGTCAGTGTGGCGATTTCTCAGAAAACCAGAAAACGACCTTCCTCAAGACCTAGTAATACCACTTTTGGGTATGTATCCAAAGGATGCTCAATTGTGCCACAAAGACATATGCTCAACTATGTTCATAGCAGCTTTGTTTGTCATAGCCAGAACCTGGAAACAACCTAAATGTCCCTCGACTGAAAATGGATAAGGAAAATATGGTACATTTACACAGTGGAGTAGTACACAGCAGAAAAAAATAACATCTTAAATTTTTCAGGAAAATGGATGGAGCCAGAAAACATCAGATTGAGTAAGGTAACCCAGACCCAGAAAGGCAATTATTACATGTACTCATTCATAACTAGTTTTTAAACATAAAGCAAAGAAAACCAGCCCACAAATCACAATCTCAGAGAACCTAGACAACAATGAGGTCGGACCCTAAGAGAGACTTACAAAGATCTAGTTAATCTATATGGGAAGTAGAAAAAGACAAGATCTCCTGAGTAAATTGGGAGCATGAGGACCATGGGAGAGGGTTGAAGGGGAGGGGAGAGGCAGGGAGGGAAGCAGAAAAAAATGTAGAGCTCAATAAAAATAAAAAAGAAACAAAAGTAAAAACAAAATTGTAAACTTTTACTCTTTGAGAAGTCTCTCAAATATATTTATATCTTATTCACACTCTACTTCTCTCCCTAACGCCTTCTAGATCCTCTCTCTTCAGCTTCCCACCCAGCTTCATCTTTTCTTTCTTTTAATACCTCACTGAGGCCAATGTGTGCTACACATATACTAACAAGTGTGGGGCCATCCACTGGAGCAGTCAACTCATGAGGGGGCATATCGATATCTCAAAGAAAACTGATTCCCTGAGTTCCCCTAGATGGCATCGACCGTTGCTAGCGCCTCAGCTAGGGCTCATGGCTAATGAGACCCCCATGGTAACACGCTGACTGCTTTGATCTTGTGTATGTCTTGTGTGGGCTCTCACAGCTGCTGTGGATTCATGGGTGTAGAAGTTTTGTCATTTCCAGAACTGACTTGTCTTTTTATAAATAATAATGCACTTATAATTTTTAGACAATCAATCAAAAGCACTACATTCTAAAATTTCAACTAGTGCTTAGGCTCATGATCCACCCTTGTCATTGTTTATCTCTCTTTGTCCTTCCTTATGCATGTACTCGACATATGTAGTTACCTGGAGGTGAATATTTCCAGTGCTGAAGACAATTTTATCTTCGCCTTAAGTGGGGCAGTTATGATCACTTGGGCTATATCACTTATGAAAACTTAATATTGCAAGTTTTACATACTTTTATAAACTCAAATTCTAAGAATTTTCAGAATTGCTTAATGGATCATCCTGGGTGTGACCACAGTTAGGGCAACACCATGTAACAGAAACAAAGGCACAATGTAATAATGGGCATGGAGAAAATCTGGATACACTTTTGTGCCAAGGAACTCCATGAATGTCTTAAACATTTACACCCAGTAATTGGGGGTTAGGAGAACAAACTCCCTTGGAAGCTGGAGCCTTTTCTGATGGTGCAGCAACAGTTGGAGCCTCCTCCTCTCTTTGTTGCTTCTTGCTTACTTGAATAAATGCTTCCACCCACTCACCCACTCAGGTCCCTTTTGGCTTTCTTCTTTTTTCTCCCTCAACTTGTGTATTTTCTTGCATGCTGTTTTCTCATGACTACTGAATTCTGTGCTATCCATTAGCAGCATTTGCCCTTCTCGTTCTTCTTGTCACCTCTTTTGGAGGCAAACTCCTGAGTTAATGTCACGACTTTACATTATATCTGTGAATAGATCGTGCAACAGCTTGTCGTTGCTGCACCAGCCTCCCAGGTTGCATGTTCCCGCATATTTAACCTCTTGTTTCATTTGGAGGGGCTAAAGATTTGATAGCTTTATTTCTTAGATGCTTGCTCTGTCTCCTTGAGCAGATGCTTTTGCTTTCGAGATTAGAACATTTTATTTAAGTGCTGTGAGGATTAATTAATTCTGTTCTAAGATGACTTGAGGATTTGCTAATGAAAAATTCTATTAAGATAGTAATTTTTAGTATTCACTTTGTTATGTATATATTCTCTTTAAGTTGTTCCCTAAAAGGTCACCTAAGCCGTTACTATTAAACGAAGAACTTAATTTCCTTCCTTTGCAAAATACAATCTTTGTGATCACTGTCATTGAAATGTGAATCTTTTGTCATATGCAGATATGTATATGTATATCTATAATATTTATGCTTAGAAATAACAGTCCATAAATTTGAGAAACTTTACAAAGTGAACTAGGCAATGCTCGGAGAAGATACTCTATTGCTCAGGTACACCAAACCTGTGTAACATGGATCTTAGTTGGGTTTTAGATGTGAAATATAAAACACTTCACAACACCCAAATTATTTTAGTGCAATTCCATTCAAATTTCTTTAGAGACTTTAAAAATAGTCATTGTACAGCAAAAAAAATTGCCCACATTGTACTAATTAGTTTTCATGCTATATCCTTAGATATACTCTTATTCAAACCCCTTAGAACAGTTTGCAGTTCTGCATGAACATTTTGTAGCTTATGCTTATGTGGGCATTATTATAGTAGACAAATTACTACCTCTGATATAAGGTTATGATTGGGGTAACAGTAGCAAGTCTACTAGTTTAAAAAAAAATGGATGCTTTCATCCAGGGACATGGCAGCTACTCTAGAATAGGATTTGCTTTGTTACACCTATCTACATCTTTGATGTGAGAACAATCCAAAACATGGATTTATGCTGAAACCATCTTCTAATTGAGGTTAATCCAAAACTTAAGACTTTATTTATATTCTAGTTTTGGTCTAGAGTTTTCTTGTTCTACTTGAGAAAACTAGAACTATCTACATTTCATGGTCTATTTTAATTTAGACTGAGCATGGCTTTGGGGAATCTAGAAGAGCCACTAACCTTTGGAGACCTCTGCATCTTAGAACACACATTATCAGAATGATTCTGATTGAAAGGCCATGCAACCAATTACAGTGATTTTTCTCTAAATAATGACTTATGCAATAATATACATTAAAACAATTGGTTATTGTATATACATATATAATAAATAAGAATACATGTTGGTTTTTTATATAGACTATCTATCTTAGCAGCGGTTTATAGCAAGACTTCAAGATGTAGGACACTTACAAATTAGTAGCAGGGTAATGGGATATGTTATTAGAAAATCAGATATCTGATTCTGTGAAGCCTGCTTGCGTAATTCTAAAACAGTATGAATAAACAATAATTGTTAGTAACCCTCTACTTCATTGGGAAGAAAAGAAGATGAGGGTAGTATACATTTTACTGCTGATGGCCTTCTGTAGGGCAAAGGTCCTTGTCTGACTCTTAGTCCTGAATCTTAGTATGCTTAGAATGTATACTTTGAGCTGGGCGGTGGTGGCATACGGGCATGTTTAATCCCAGCACTCGTGAGGCAGAGGCAGGCAGATCTCTGTGAGTTCAAGGCCATCCTGGTCTACAAGACAGGCTCCAGGACAAGCTCCAAAGCTACAGAAAAGCCCATTCTCGAAAAACAAAACAAACAAACACACATAAGAATATATGCTTGGAATACTCAACAGTTAAAGACTAACACTTAAAATGGTCAACATTCTATAGGAATAAAACAAAATATTCATTTTGAATAATAATATTGATCTGATATAAATAATGTTTATAATCAATGTGATAGCACCACTCACAGAAATGTTTCAATTTCATACTAACAGATTGCCTTATGGGAAGGATTTAGTTTAGCTTTGAATTTTCCAGACCCACCAGTTATTATTTTATATCTGAAAATGCCTTCCATCATATCAGTGAAACCTCAGGAGGGTCTGCTGTATTTTCTTTAGGTTCCACTTAAGTCCCATGGTGTGAGAATTAGGACTGATCAGTATAATTTTAAACACATTGGACTCTACTTTTTTAATAACATCTTGAACCAGGAGGTTTGAATGTACCACTAGGAAACCTTTAAGTCCAGGATCTTAATATGCGCATATCAGAAACCCCACCAAAACTAGCACGGATCTTCCTAACACCAACATTATGTGAATTGGCCTGTAAGCCCTTCAAATACCAAGGAACAGGTTCATCTCTATGACTCACCTCTAGAGAACTCATGGATATCGTAGATCCAGTTTCGCTTCTTGACAGTCCTGCGTTATCATCCAACTCGGAGGCCATGAAATTCTTAACAGCCGTGCGAGGCTCAAAGGGTAAACTCTGCATATGTTCCTGGGGTGCAAGATGCTGATCTAAGTTCATATTGAACTGGTCCATGACAGGGGGATTCATACTGAATTCAGGATTCACTTTGTAGTGCAATAGCCTTTCATGCGGCAAGGTTTCCATGCCAATATTCATCTTGCTTTCCTCTTTCATTGCTGGCTGAGTATTTACAGAGCTTCGAGGCATCACGATATAGTCACTTTCCATCATTCTCTCTTGAGGGTGGACTATGTCCATATCAGCCCCTCTTAAATTGTCATCCGTGCATAAGTACACAGTTCTCCGCAATTCATTGTTCTCTTTCTTCAGACACTGACTGCTCAGCTCATTCATACTCATGGGCATGTGCAGGCCTGTGGGCTGCTGGATGATGACTTTGGAAATGACGTTCCCAGGCAATGTTGAATAGCTCAGCCCTTCGGGGTTCGTTCCCTTTTCTTCCTCGTCGTCGTTTAGAGAGATCCTGGAGAGTGTTCCTGTTATTGTTGCTGCTCGGCAAGGACCAATATCCTTATGGAGCACTGCAAATCGACCATAGCAGTTAATAAAAAGATAAAAAAGAGAGCATTTCTTTTTATTGTTATATGCTATTATTTGTCTTCCTTCTAAACACTCTCTTAATAAAGCAAAAGAAAAATAATTTTTAACAAATCATTTGTACTTGTTTCTTCCTAATCCTGGTTACTGAATTTTTATTGATTCTGTTATTTGTCTGATATTGATTATTGATTGCTATTGATTCTCTGATGCTGCCATAGAGCATGAGCAGTCTATAGATAAAGCATCTCTGAAAACTGATTAACTGGCTTTCAAAAAGTACAAATGTCTTTTCTTGAAAAAAAAAAAACACTGCATTAATTTTCAAGCAAAGGAAATACTGCCAGAGAGTTCCCCATCAGTCCACTTCAAAACATTTCCATAAAAATGTAGGTTTTAGTTACATTCATGTAGGCCTTTCTTATAAAGTTTACTCGAAGCTTTGATCATTAAGACAGATTCTTGAGGGCTGAGTGTGTTGGTACACTCTTTTAATTCTAGCACTTTGGAGGCAGAAACAGACACATCTCTGTGAATTCCGGGCCAGCCTGGTCTACATAGTGAATTCAGGACAGCCAGAGCTACATAGTGAGACTGTCTCAAAATGAAACTGGTTTGAATTACCACAAAGCATAGCAACTATAGTAGAAAATTTCATCATGTATAGATAACTAGAGAACATTTGTTTCTGAGAGCATAAAACTTTCAGAATTTTGCCTATTATTGTCCAAGTTTTTAATAGAATCATAATTATGAATCAGCATAGAAGTTGAAAACCAGATTATGAGAATCTTTTGCTACTATGAAGAAATGAGGAAATGAAGCCTTTTCAGTGTTCCAAAGCATGAAGCACTCAGACAGTACCTGCTCTCTTTAGAGATGCTGTATCTGTCCTTGTACTGCCGTCTCTTTGTTTCCTATATATAACATCATGCTCATTATTCATATATAGCTTTTAATGAATACACAATATGGTTGTAGATTTTTTATATTTTATATTTTTATGTATAAAAATAGGAAAATATTAAGCTTTATGATGTTATTTCTAGGAGCCCAGAGCTGAGACTTTAAAATTTACTGCCTTCAACATATGCAGAAATCTCTAGAAAAATTCTGAGGGAAGATGAGTATGAGCTCAACTTAAGAGGGTATTGGCCAAACAATGAAAACAGAGAATAAACAAACTGCAACTTGTTTCGTAATCCCACAGTGGTACTCTTCTGCATTGAAAAGGCTTAACCCAGACTGCAGTGCAGACTGGGAGAAAGGAATAATCTATCATCAGACAAAGTTGTGCATGCTGAAGGGTTGGAAGCAGCAGCTCTGGGAAGAGGGTCTGTGATGAAAGTTTTCAGCACTCACAGTGCATGTGAGTGACTTGAATGTCTTCTAAGACCCTGGCTAGTGTGACCCAGGCCCACAGTTTCTAGTCTAGAAGGTCTAGGTAGGTCTTTCAAACTGAATTTCGGGCAAGCATCGGGCAATACACTGCTTGTTTGGGTACCAGACTTTGTCAAGCAGTGGTTTGATATGAGTAGCTGGTAAGGAAAAAACAAAAGTGTCTGTTCTCATTCTTCCCTCTGTCAAGAACTCTAAGGAGTAGACAAAGAGAGGCAAGGAAGCTAAATTGTGGGTGGATGATTAGGAATTAAATAGATAACTAATCATTGAAATAAGTTCAAGCCTCTGACACATCCAAATTGTATTCTACACATGGGGAAACTTGTGCCATGGCGTGTGAATTTTAGAGATCATAAAAGATGGATAAGATTTGTTTTTCTATAGGAAAGGACAATTCCTACTCCCCTCACAGTCCCAAATCATGGCTGGTAGCTTACAACTGCGGTGACCATACCTCACTCAGAATGTTTTGACTGAATCCAGATTAGTTTCCCATATGACTGTGATTATGGCAAGAAATATGATCTGACATTTGCACAGATTTTAATGGCTCTGAGTTGAATCTGAAAACAACCCATAAGGGAGTCTGGAAGGTAGGAAGTGGGTGCCTTTCCCAACAGAGCAGGTTCTGTAATAACTGTTGTGACATTTAACTCCTTTGTAGACAGTTTGGAGGGAGACTTAGAAGGTACTCTATCAAATGTTCACTGGCTACCCAGTCTCAAATCAATGCCCTCCTGAAGGAAGTTAAGATGACAGTGTACAGGGATAAATGCAGAGGCTGTTTGCTTTTCTACAAAAACATACCAGAACCATAGCTTTTTACATAATCTTAGGAGAGTCCTTGACAGCACCTATAAAACACGGTTGGGCTTTCAGATGACAAGGTGACGCTTGTACTTAAGCGTAGATCAGATGTGAATGCAGACCACATTAATACAAGTAAATAGCCAACTTGATGAGAGCTGCAAGGGTATGCATATATGTGCACACTATAATTTAAATTTATTGACAAATTGGGGGCTATTTTCGGCACCAGGCCTTGGAAGATGCTATTAGAAATGAATGACGACACTTGACTGTTAAATCTGAAAGCAAAAAAGCACTTAGATTGAATTAAACAATAATTTATTTCAAATATTCGGGTACTCAGGTATATATCCACTTTCCATATGAGAAAAGATAGCACAGAGAACAACAAACCCAAGGAAAAAGGTGGTACATTTTGATGCGCTTCGGAAGACAATTTCCCAGCTACTAAAAAATATCCAAAATAGAAAATAAATATTTTTTTTAAAAAAAATTTAAAAGCCCTCTTCTCTAGTGAAAAATTAGCCAATGGTTAGAAGACAGCTACCAGTACACACACACACACACACACACACACACACACTAGTAGTTTACCAGTTTAGTGGTTGATATTCTCTATATGATAAACAAGGCAGCTACAGCGAGTTGCCTAACAAGTGCTCGTATTCACGAGCCTGGAGGTTGATGACATATCTAGTGGTTTCTGCTGCTATGGTGCTCTCAATAGTCTATTCCTCATTTCCCACTTCTCTTCCTCTCCCCTCTCTCTATATATCCCCGATGGCACAGTGATTCCCACTGGAAGATGCCACTATCCACCCACCCAAGTATGATGCATAAAGCATAGATATTCTTAAAACATCAAAAATCCACAAAATGATTTCATACCCCTATAGATTATATTTAAAAGATCAAAGTCTTCTTACCTGATCGACAAGCAATGTCTACATCCTTTTCAAAGTCTGTCTGTAACAAGAAATAAGGCACCGAATCATCATTTAATGAAGACGTCAAATGTTTTTAACATTAAAATTCTCTGAATTTTATAGATTTATAGCTAGCCAGTATTAGTTTATTGTTTTGTGCAAAATTAGATTCTCAAGGAATAATCAGAATTTCCTAGAGACAAAACAGTGCGTAAAACCCATGGAAAATGGCATAGTTTTGATATGGTAACGTAATACCCCATATAACATGACAGAATTTTAGCTGGAAATGGTGGTTCCAGTGGTAATTCTAGCTACTTAGGAAGATGAAGTAGAAAGATTACATGTTCAAGGCCTATCTGAGCCAGAGAATGAGGTCAAGGTTGGTGAGACCATGCTTGGTCTAGAAGTTTAAAGGGGTGGAAATAGGGACGTAGCTCAGTTGGTAGAGGATTTGCTTGGCATGGCTGAGGCCCTGGCTTCAAACCCCGCATATTAATACAAGTGTGAATGGTGGCACACCTCTGTAATCTATCACTTGGGATGGTGAAGGAAGGAGAATCGTAAGTTCAAGATCATCCTTGGCTACATGGTGAGGCTAGCCTAAGATACGTGAGATCTTGTCTCAAAATTAAAAAAAAAAAAGTTGGGGCTATAACTCAGTGGCTCAGCCTGCACAGGCCACACAAAGCCTTGGTTCACTCTTCAGTACTTCCATAAACAAAACAAAAAAACAGGACCAGAATTTTAAGGCAATAGCCTAACTTTAATAAAGCAACCAGAAGGTACCTTTAAATAACTGACTTTGGTTGTTGTATTTTATGCTTCTAATTTTAGTGTGTTACCTGCAGCCTCTCAAAGGCCATTGGCTAAAGGAGGTTTCCCATCAACCTGTGATACAATATTCTTTAATACATTTATGGTCATGCGTATACTGCTATAGAATTGTATTTCCTCTGCTGTAACCAACGGCTCTCAATTGCAGAGATTAAAGATGAGGGCTAAACATCTATTCCTCTGGCCTAGAATCTTCTGGATATTGGTACCACCTTCTCCAAAATTCATATTTTAAACAAATCAGCTTATTTTTATGGTAAAATCAAATGAGCCTGTTGTAAGCAAGTTTTTCAACTAGATTCCTTTTTTTAAATATTAGTTTTTAAATTTTTATCACTGCTGCTACTACTCTTATTATCATCATCATCATTATTGTTATTATTGCTATATGTGTACAAACATGCTCACATGCTGAAGCACACATGTGAGGGTCAGAGGAAAACTTTGTGGCTGCTGTTTTCTCCTAAATTGAAGTGGGTCCTAGGGATCAAATTCAGGTCACCAGGTTTGCACAACAAATGCCTTTACCTGCTGTACCATCTGGCCAGTCCAGTGTCAGTATCTTAAACAGACTTTTATGGTTATCTGGTTTTGTTAAGGAACTGATTTTGTTCCTCATCTTTTAGCTGCTAACATATTGCTTAGCCATATATTTTATGTTCCATACTCCAAAAATGTTAATAAAAAAAACATTTATGCTGAAGGAAGCTCATTCCTATTCCGTCTCAGTTCTGTTGATATTGTTGGTTGGTTGATTGTCTTGTTTTGAGATATAATCATGTTATGCAGGTCAGAGTGCCCTTGACCTGGGGCTCCTCTTACCCCAGCCTCTCTCACAGTGCAGGCATTCCAGGCATGCACAACTCCCAACTTCCATTTCTGTTTTGGTGACAGCAATTTTATCTCATTTCTAAAGTTTGCCGAAGTGTTTATGTCTATAGCAGCCTTCACTCCAACAGAACACTGGGCTCATGCTCAGGATGGACCCGTCACTGGAGTGGTGCCTTTTCTCTGTGTTTTAGTTTCTTGGTGCTTTCCTTGGGCTGTATAGGTGAACCACCATTATCTGTGGTCACCTTTAAAGACGCATATTTAACTGCTCGGAGTTGCAGCTCCTCTAATTATTCTATAATCTTCAATTAAGTATGAGTAGGAGAGGAGGTATGATCAAGATTTGTTTTATTAAATTCTCAAAAATTAATAGAGAGAAGGAAAAAGACCATAACACACACTGAGAAAAAAAACGGGAAAAGTCCATAGTGCTCATGTGTAAAGATCATTATTTTGAATTGGATTCTAGACAAGGTGAAAATACTCTTCACTGTTGTATAGGACACCAATGTAACCCACAAGAGAGTCAACAGCAGACCTTTGATTCAAAGGCAATCCAGAAATAACATTTACTGGATGTTGAAGTAAAAAGTATTTATTTTAAATATTTATTTTATGATTTACGTATTTATGTGGTGTGTGTGTGTGTGTGTGTGTGCGTGCGTGCGTGTGTGTGTGTGTGTGTGTGTGTCTCCATGCTTGTAGGAATAAATGGAGGTCAGAAGAGGGAATCAAATCCCTTGGAGCAGGAGTTATAGGTACTCATGAGCTGTAGATGTGGGTGCTGGAAACTGAACTCCAGACCTCTGCAAAGGTAGAAAATATTTTAATCATTAACTCATCTCTCCAGCTCACAAGGTTTTAGTCTTAATGAATTAAAAGCAAATTCTGATTTTATACTATTTTATTAATAAGGAGTTTGTTATATATACATACATATATTTTTCCCGAAGAAACCATGACTTAATTATCATCCAGAAGGAAAATAGAAGCTCACCATGATTTGAGCTTGTCCATTAGGAAAAGAACTTGAAGAATCAGCATTGATCGGATCCTGACAGTTTCTCAACCGGCATCTAAATGCATCTTGTACCTGTGAATAGGAAAAAACACATCGATTTTATTTTTTCCTCAATAATAACTAGATACTGTCCATATTGCTCATCAGTTATGAGGAAATGCTATCTTTATTTGTACAGTATAAGACTCATCTTGTTTCCTGGCTGGCCTGGAACTAGTTATGTAGATCAGGCTGGGATTCTAGAGAGGAGTTCACAGAGATCTTCTTGCATCTGTCTCCCTAGTGCTGTGGCTGTGATTACGAGCAGCACTACCATGCATGACATTGCTTACTTCTTGATACAAATATAGGGGTACTTGGCTAGGGTCACTGACCAGTGTATTGGACATTTGTCATCGTCTACAAAGTTAAGTGTTGGAACTCATGGAAAAGCATGATAGCTATTTCTGAGATAATCCTTTTCATTCCTATTGTATGATGGGTTTTTCTTCTATTGTTATAAACCATGTGCATATTGTTGTGTGTTTGTGTTGGGGGGGAGATATTGTTATTGTGTATGTAATGGATTTAAACACTATGAAAAATATAATCACGCAATGATCTTTGGCTAGGATTGATTTATGATTTTTCCTTTTCTGTCTCATGTAAGAAACTTGTGTGAAGACTATTCCTTTTCTCTCGTCATGTCTATGTCCCCAGACACAAAAACAGGAAACAACAGACCAATATAAAACAATCTCTTGACTTCTGGTTGATTGACTTGGGAAAGATCAAATCTCTTGAGCTCAGTCAGACTCTCTTGACATCCCACCAGGTCCCGGATGCAGCGTAAACATCTCACAAGAGGTTCCCAAGGATGTTACATTAATTGTTGTTATTACAAAAAATCTCAGCAGAGACAAAGAGCTGAAAGGGGAACACCACTGGTTGTGGAACAAAAGCAACACCTCAGCAGCAGGATGCACATCCCACTTCCTGTGGTCCCTTGGGCTCCTCCCAGGTTGTTGATGAATATGTTCTCAGATGGTGACTTATCACAAATCAACAGCCAGGTCATTCATTTTTTAATCTTTTGTTTGTCTAACTCCATGTGTTTGATATTCTTCTTCTCATCTACTATACTCTGTTTTTCTGTTATTAAAAGCATAGCTGCTGTTGTGTTTTCTCTATGTTGTGTCATTATTATAAACTACAGGGTAATCACTTGTGGATCTTCTCTTTTGAAAAGCACAGCAATATATCATCCTGTCTCAGTTTTGATGTGAGATGTGTAGAACATATACACATTGGTCAGGAAGCAAACAGGACATATTGGATCAAAACCCGAGTCCACTAATTTGTTGATTTGGGTCTGGAATGTGGACCTCAGTGGTCACTATCACAAGTCTGCTCTGTCAGTCCTATAGAGACCTGCACATGCATCCCCTCTCAACATGGGGTTCTCTGCCTGGTGGGGTAGCTAACTTCAGTGAAGTTGAACTGAGAGCAGGTGTCTTCTGACAACTTCCATTCTACAGTGCTAACATTGCCAATCTCAGATTCCTCCAAAAGAACAATCAGTTCCCTATTAACATTTCTTTGGTCCAACACATCAATTAAGAGTCCGGCTGCACCAAGATCTACTCCAATTTCTTTTCCCGAAGATTACATAAAACAGGACTGAATCACTGAGCCTCTCACGCTGAGGCAGACATACCCAGATTAGAGCAAAAACCTATTTCATCATCAGTGTTTTCCAGAGATGCCTTTTTAGACCAATATATCATTGTAGGTTATAAAATAATACAGTAAAGATAGAAAATTGGTAATGACGTTAGTGTTTGCCCGAGTGCCGTTATTTTTCTGTGATTCTTAAATTTGAAGACGAAAACACACAACCTAAGTGTGTTTTCCTTTTAAAAGTCCTATAAACCACTGTCAGAAGAAGAGGCTCATGATAAATTCTGTTTAAACTGCAAGGCAACTGTTAAAGTACATTTAATAAAGAAAAATAAAGAATATGTTAGGAACATTGTCTTGGGAGTTTGTCACATGAAGATTCCCTTTAAATCGACATCAACATACCAGCCTATATAAAATATGAAACACTGTGGTAGGAATGAAAGTTGCCATGCAAACTGGATCCAGAGCTCCCTGTCCTGCTTTCACTGTCTACTTGTTTCTCTTGATGTAGTTGAGAGGTGGTTTGATGGATGCCTATCTTTGTTCTCTTACAATAACAACTACATCAAAGTGTCACCATGTTGGGACATGGAATTTTGACTGACCTAAATGTGAGTTCCTGGGCCCTGGTCACTCATATATTTAGCTCTAGAATAACTAATTTCCCTCCTTCGAAAGGATGAGAGTTGTGTGCTTGCACCGACAGGTGCAATATTAAGCATTAATTTCTCTGACCCTTGCTAAAGGTATTTTTTATTTCAAAGCTATGGCCAAAACATTGTCAAGTATTTTACAGCTGACATTTAAAAACATGAAAAAGCAAATTCTGTAAATTTCTCTTCCAAGTCATTGTCTTGTTGATTGAAAGAGATAAAAAAGAAATATCTTTTTCAAAACATATACTTATACACACACAAAATCAATACTTTTTTATTAATATATTTTTAATTTTTTTTATTTATTTATTAAAGATTTCTGTCTCTTCCCCACCGTCGCCTCCCCTTTTCCTCCCCCTCCCCCAGTCAAGTCCCCCTCCCTCGTCAGCCCAAAGAGCAGTCAGGGTTCTCTGCCCTGTGGGAAGTCCAAGGACCACCCTCCTCCATCCAGGTCTAGTAAGGTGAGCATCCAAACTGCCTAGGCTCCCACGAATCCAATAGGTACAGTAGGATCAAAAACCCATTGCCATTGTTCTTGAGGTCTCAGTAGTCCTCATTGTCCACAATGTTCAGCGAGACCGGTTTTAACCCAGGCTTTTTCATACTCAGGCCAGCTGGCCTTGGTGAGTTTCCATATACATATTAGAGTACTACTCAGCAGTAAAAAACAAGGACTTCTTGAAGTTTGCAGGCAAATGGATGGAAATAGAAAACACTATCCTGAGTGAGGTAAGCCAGACTCAAAAAGATGAACATGGGATGTACTCACTCATATTTGGTTTCTAGCCATAAATAAAGAACATTGAGCCTATAATTCGGGTTCTTAGAGAAGCTAAATAAGAAGGAGAACCCAAAGAAAATCATATAGGCATCCTCCTGAATATTAACCTTCATCAGGCGATGAAAGGAGACAAGAGACAGAGACCCACATTGGAGCACCGGACTGAAATCTCAAGGTCCAAATCAGGAGCAGAAGGAGAGAGAGCACGAGCAAGGAACTCAGGACCGCGAGGGGTGCACCCACACACTGAGACAATGGGGATGTTCTATCGGAAACTCACCAAAATCAATACTTTTGATTGCAAAACTTCCAGGTGTAACAGTGGGCTAAGGGCACATTTACATTGGAAAATGACATCAGCTTTATTTTATCAATATGAGAGAGAAGACGGAAAATCACATAAATCTTCCACTATGTTTAAGGCCATTTTAAGGTTCTTACAGGTGTCATAATTTAAGAATTAGATTCTAAGACAGTTTTAGTGCACAACTCTCATACATAAGGATTTCCAGGGAAATTTCATTTGATTCCAAATGCTTTATTTGATTTGTTTTCTTTAAATCTGAAAATACATGGAGGCTCTCACGATGAATTGGCATTAAATATTTGCTCAACAGCATGGGAGGAAGCGATGAGACAAGATGCACAGGGCAAATCTTCTTACCCCAGAGGGGCTGATGGGAAGAGAGTGTCTAAGAAAAGATCGAGGCACGTACAAGCATTGTGGTAACTGAATTTTCTAGCAGGCACACAAAAAGTTTCGTCCCTGGGTAATTAATGTGAATTATACCAATAAAAAGCTGGAATTGGCTAAAATTCAAGTTGTAGACAAACATAAAAATAAAAAACAAAAAGCACAAATAGATCGATTATTTTATGCCATAGTACGATTAAAGTTCCCCTGAATCTCCTATACCAAGGTTACATTTACAAAGATGAACAGCAACTGTTCTTTATTTACAATTTATGGAGAACTAATTCCTTACTTTAGTTAATAGTTCTATTTAAAACTATTATTATTAGTTTATTATTAGTTATCATTCCTACAAAATCTGAGTTTCTGTGAAATTAACATCTCAAAGCTTTTCTGAAGCCTGGTAAACTCGATTTTTAAATGAATCTGTGGGGAACCATGAAATATTTAACATTAATTATGCCACACTTCATATCTAGATTATAAAATGTCTTCTCTTTGAACCATTCTGAAATAGGTCTGTCATTCTAAATGATAATCAGATGGAGCTAAAAGTAAGAGGGAGTAGCAAGGGACAGATATGTCACTGCCTTTAAAATATTTAGAGTCCTTTAAGGATCCCTGATGGTCTGGAGTGAGATAAAGGTCAGAACAGAAGGCGATATCTTTAAGAAAACAGCAGTTGATATCAGTGATGTCTCGACTAAGTTTCAAAGCAGCTAGCGGGCTTTTAAAAATGTCTAGAGACACAGTCTTTCTCAATGCACACGGTTTTTTGGATGATATCTGAGTTCAAAGTAGCTTGCAGGGGAATGTCTAACTCCTGTCTCTCCCTCATGAGGAGAGACATTTTGGTTTTCTCACAGCCACAGCAGCGGCAGCAGCAGCAGCAGCAGCAGCAGCAGCAGCAGCAGCAGCAGCAGCAGCAGCAAGCCAAGAGCTTCTCAATTGGTCCTCACTCCCGAGGCAACTGGCAGAGAGTCACTGTGCAAAGTCGATGCCAGATTTAGAGGTTTGCGGGATAGGGGCACCCAGAACCCTTGGCAGTGTTACAAATTCGCGAAGCTACCCAGAGAAGAGTTTCACAGTCTGAAATGGGTTCTGGATTTAGCTAGCTGCTGTACTGCTCAGACCGCAAGTCTTCTCCTCTAAAATATGAGAAAGTCTTACCTCAAGCTACTCTTTGTGAATGTTTGTGAAATCACAAGATCATTTTAAGTCAGGATGACACACATTTTTTTTCCCTTGTATTCATTTGTTATGATTTCTGGGGAGAGGG